CTTTTCTCTGATTGATCCCTACCCTTCACTTATTTTACATATCCTACCCTTCCCTAATTGGTTTTCTGCACTGTCATGTCCATTTTTGAGGAGTGCCTTTTTTTAGTCCTTTTTGCATGCTCACAAACCAATTGGCACACGCTTCCCCATTCTGAGCCCATAAAAGCCCCAGATTCAGCCACACTTGAGGACTACTTGCCTTAGGGTTGGGGGAACTACCCAACTCCAGGAAAGGTGCTGCTATCTTTGGATCCCCTCTCCACTGACAGCTGTCACTCAATAAAACTATCCACTCTGCTTGCCCTCTAGTTGTCAGCATAACCTCATTCTTCTTGGACATGGAACAAGAACTCAGGACCCTCTGAATGTGAGTAGGAGAAAGATTATAACATTGTAGCCCTCTACCCTCAGCTAGGCGGTTACTCCAAGTGACAGGAAGCAGCGGTGAGGCTGGGCCAGCCTGGGAGTCACAGGTCAGAGTGGAGTGATGGGACTGAAAGAGCTGTTAGCACGCCCCCATCTACTGAGCTGTGGATGGTAGGAATAACATGCCCTTTGTGGCTCTGGGATTGCTGATGTCCATGAATTTTTTGGGTGCCACCACATTCCTCTCATTCAGATGCCAGCACCCAGGGCAGAAGCAGATCATGGCATGCCTAGCCCAGCCGCATGCCTGGCCCATGCCTGGCCTCACCAGATAATGCAGGGAGCATGTGAATCCAGGTGGAAGCACAAGCCAAGTGCAGCTTGCTGGGCCAAGGGGTGGGGTACCTCCTGCAGCAAGCCTGGAGCCTAGTGAGGCTCTGGACAGGGGTGTCACTAGCTGCAGAGGACTCCAGCTAGTGAAGCAGCACTAAAAATATCCAGCATCACTGTCATTCCAGAAAATGCAAGTGGTAAACCTTGGTGGCACCCATGTGGTACTAATTCTGTAGGGACACAGACTACAAGAGCTGTGGGGGCATGATTTTCTCCAGCTAGATTTCAGAGAACATTGCAAATAGCTTAGGTATCTAGGCAAAAACTTTCCACAGGCACAGAGCAAAGCCATCACAGAGAGTTTCCACTAGGGCAGTGCCTAGTGGAGCCATAGACGTGGCTCCACCTTTGAGACCACAGAACTGTAGAGCTATCAGCATGCAATGCTGCCCTGGGAGAGATAAAGGCACAAGACTCCAATTCACGAAAGCTGAAGTGTGAGCTGAGCCCAGCAAAGCCATAGGAACAGGGCTGCTCAAGACCTTGGGGTCCCAGTGTATTTAGGATTTGGAATATGCAGTCAGTGGAGATTATTTTCCAGCCTTAAGACTTAATGTTGTTTTCTCTGTTGGGTTTTGGACTTACTTGGGATGATTTACTCATCTTTTCTTGCTTATTTCTTTTATTTTTGGAATGGGAATGCGTATAGTATGCTTATGCCACCATTTTGTTTTGGAAGCATGTGATTCGTTTTGATTTCATAGGCTCACAACTGGAGGAAATTTGCCTTAGGGTAAATCATGTCTTCAGTCTCACCCATATTGGATTTAGATAAAACTTTGGACTTTGAACTTCTCAGTTAGTAATAAAACAAGTTAAGATTTTGGGGGCTACTGGGATGGAATGAATGTATCTTGTCTATCGGAAGAACATGTGTTTTGGGAGGCCAAAGGTGGAATGCTATGGTTTGAATGTTTGTTGCACCATTGACAATGTTATTCAAATGGTAGTAAAATAAAGAGTTCAAAAAATGAGAACAATATATGTGTGGATGAAAGCACTTACAGAAGCTTTATCAAAGAAATCGAATAGATAAATTTCCTTTCATATCTTTTTCTGGACTCCCATGATGTTATGTTTTTTATTCTGGAACTCTCAGAACAGTCATATATTGAATTTGTTCATTGTGTGTCTTCTCTATTCTCTGATGTCATCAGCTTCAGGAGAACAGAAGCTAGGACCACCCAGCTCTGTATCTCCAAAGCAAATAGCACAGTGTTGGCTGCAGAGAAAATTTCTACAGAGATTAGTTGAAGAGAAAGTGACAATTACTTATGATGTCACTTTCTCATGGACACTGGGTAAAAGTGTCCACTATAATGATACAAAAGGAAAACAAAGCCAAGTGCAGTGGCTCACACCTGTAATTTCAGCACTTTGGGAGGCCGAGATAGGTGGATCATTTGAGGTAAGGAGTTTGAGACCAGTCTGACCAACATGGTAACCGCCCCTTGTCTCTACTAAAAATACAAAAAGAAATTAGCAGGATGTGGTGGTGAGCACCTGTAGTCCCAGCTACTCGGGAGACTGAGGCAGGAGAATCGCTTGAACTCGGGAGGCAAAAGTTGTAGTGAGCCAAGATTGTGCCACTGTACTCTAGCCTGGGTGACAGAGGGAGACTTCATCTCAAAAAAATAATAAAAATAAAAGTAGTGAAACCCCGTCTCTACTAAAAATACAAAAAATTAGCTGGGCATGGTGGTGCATACCTGCAATCCCAGCTACTCAGGAGGCTGAGGCAGGAGAATTGCCTGAACCCAGGAGGCGGAGGTTGCGGTGAGCCGAGATCGCGCCATTGCACTCCAGCCTGGGTAACATGAGTGAAACTCCGTCTCAAAAAAAAAAAAAAAAAAAAAAGGAAAAGGAAAACAAGACAGCAAAGAATTTATTGTATTGGATAGTGTCAACAGATGAGGCACAGTCAGTTGTAGATCCCCAAGTGTGACTCAACATCATCTGAATGTTTTCACCCTATATCAAAATCCAATTGATTTTGTCTCCTTCTGTAGTTACAAAGGATAAGAATTTGACCTGTGTGCCCACTTAAAATCATTATTTAGTTTTATTTTCCCATCCACATTCTTAAAATGACTAAATTCAAAATAATTTAAAAGCCACATTAAAAACTAAATCAAAATCCTCAAGTTAATACCTGCATCTCTTTCTTCATGGCCTAATTCATAACTTCTTTAGAGTCTGGAATTTACTCCAGGGCAATTCTGCAAAGATTCTGTACTTAATTGTAGTTTGAGGTCATTATTCATGCTCATGATTTGCACTGAATTTACACATAAATTTTACTTGTCTAATTTTCTAATTACTGAGAAGAGGTAATGTGATGGCATCTTAATCTAGGGAAAACATCTCAAACACTTTTGCACACGTTTTGCATTTGGCATAACCTAAAACATATTTCCCCTCACAACTTTTTCCCTTAACTCTTAAGCCCCTGAGTATTTCAAGGGAAACTCAATACTTTTTATCTGGATTCATTTACACTCTCATTTACTCATCAGCATGGTGTTTTGTAAGAGATATTTAATATCCTCCAAGAGCCCTTTTTTCTCTTGCACATTTCAAAGATTTTCCTGTAGGAAACACTATGTTCCAAGCCATAAATTGAGTCTGAATCTAGAAAACAGGAGTTGGGGGAAGCCATAAATTCCAAATGAATTCCAAGTGGCACTGATTTTAACTGCCCATTATACGTATAATGTGGTTACCGAAATGAGAACAGAGTGCACTGAGTGAAGAAGACCTTTTACATTTGGTGGCATTAAGTTTGCACCAGTGCAGCTGCTTAGGAAAGAGTAATGCGTATCTTCACTCTCACTGTGTTGACTGAGGACAGCTTCTTTTTCAGGAAACAGGTGTCACAACTGACAAATCCTCTCTGGGAGTAATCAACTTTCCACAGAATGACTTTCTCCTACTGGAAGGCAAGGGCCAACACCATGAGTAAGCTGCTTGTCACAGTGGCTGAAGGGTGTTCCCACTCCGGACCCACTAGGCAATACGGTAGCAGCCCTAACCCTTCCTGCAGCCCATTCAGGATGAGTGAATTTCTTTTTATTGCAGATATTGAAAACCAGCTTCAGTGAGCTATTTTTAAAATAAATTTTTGGAAGGATACCAGAGATTTCCTTAGAATTCAAGGAAAAATGGGAAATTCAGCTTCTTAAGACATACGACCAAGGGGACAGTGTCAAGGAAGCTGGGCAGGCACTCAGGGAGTGCCTAAGAGTACCAACCAGTGCACACTAATAATTTGCCAACTGACCACCCTCCCAACACTTTCCTGACTACCTAGCGCCCGGCCTGCTCTTTAGATTCTTCGTCTCTTCAAGAAGGAGTTTGTGGCCACATTATTTTCTTTGGTTTTGAAAATTACCTTAATTCCTATAATTGGTTATTTGTCTGTAGACAATTGACCATATTATTATTACTTACAAATATCACATTAAAAACTTACTCTTACATAATTGTTCACGGTGCTTATGGTATCTTGTGAGCCATCTGGTTTTTTGTCTTTTTGTTTTTTTAAGTTATCAGTTCCTATAACTGACTCACTCTGGTCATGAAGGATGGGTCTCTGTGTACTAGTAAGAGTCCAAATATTCCAACCTGAATGCTTATAATTGTTGGGTGTGTGTATGCATGTGTGTGTATGTGTATGACAAACACATCTCAACACCTGAGAAACCTGGCTCAAAACAGATAAGATAGTTCCTCTCTTTAAAATATGTATTTGTTTATTTATAGACAGGGTCCCACTCTGTCACCTAGGAAGGATTGCCATAGTGGGATCATAGTTCACTGCAATTTTGGACTCTTGGGCTCAAATGATCCACCCAGTTCAGCCTCCCTAGTAGCTAGGACTACACAAGCACATGCCACTATGTTTGTTTGTTTGTTTGTAGAGATGGGTCTCATTATGCTGTGCAGGCTGGTTTCTTTTAAATACTTCAATTTCTAAATAAAAAACACTTTTAAAAGTAACTATCTAGTTAATACATATCCCCAAATACATGCATGTGAAACTAACATTATCATTACATAATACATAATTATTACATTATTAATACAGATCATATAATGTTATTACATAATACATAAATCCATATCCCCAAATATATGCATGTGAAACTAACATTATTATTACATAACACATAATTATTACATCATTAATACATATTATATAATACATTATTACATAATACATAAATACATAATTATTACATTATTAATTAATAGATTATTACATAATACATAAAGTCATAAATTTACCTTTTAAAAAAATTAATGGGATATTTTCAAAAAATATGGATAGAAAGTCAGTCTATTTTGAACTTAAATCCATGCATTTTAAATTTGGCAAATTTCTGCTGGAATTCCTCGGTGGCCAAATGATGCTTAAGGCAAGGTAAAACTTACTCTTTGCAACCCAGACATTGTAAAAATCTTATCCTACTTCTAAGAAGCAGATCTATTCAAGAACTGCAAATAAAGTGGAGTCTTATTAAAGGGAGATCCCCCAGCCATGCTATTTATTGGCATGCTTGCCAACATGAATCCAAAGTGCTCATTTTCAGGAGTCATCATGTCCACATTCTTAAAGTTGAAACGTCCTTGTAGAGAGGAAAGTCACTAGCGTGTTCTTTCTCTTTTCTCTGATTTTACTGAGTCAAAAGGAAAACCTCTAAACAGAGCTTGTTTTAATCATCTGCCAAGCACATGGGCCCAAGGTTTTCCTCCTAGAGGAGGAGGTCTCACAGCCAGTCCAGGAGAATAACATTACCCACAAGGAGCAAACAATACCCTTCAGCAAGCACCTTCTTCTCAGGTCTACACAGCCTCAAAATTTTGACATCCAGAAAGACAACATTTGGAGAAACAGAAGCATCAATAGTAAAGAAATGCACAATTGGTAGAGGAAATTGGGCGACATAGTATCTCATCTATTCTCAATATGGTGCCACACATTTCCACAATTTAACATGGGTCTCAAATAAATCAGGTTGTGGTCAAATAAGAATTTGAATTTAAAATGAATTAAAATGTGTTTCTTACCAGTTATGGCTTTTTGCGTAGAAGCTTTAAAAAGATTGTGGTTTGAAAATGCTTACGATCGTAAAACAATAAAGCGAAGGGGTCTTTAGAGATACATCAGCACTGCACCCTGGTTTAACAGATGAGGGAACTAGAGAATTGAGTTTCCCAAATGGCATAATTGTTGTGTGGCAGATTTCAGGCTACAATTGGTTTTTATAGTTTCCAGTGATTTTCTCCAGTTTATCTGGAATTAAAACGTGAATTCTGATTTGAGGATTTATAAAAGCCAGTGGGCGACTCTACCATTGATGCTGTCTATGTGTTCTTTGTGTACTGAGATTTCATGGAGGTCATGAGGAAGTGGAAGATAATTTTTGTTCTAAATAATGTATGAATTAAATCACAATAAAAGGATCCATTGACCATAGCATGACTCTAGATAATGCTTTGCATTAAATGATATGAAAAATTTTATTTAGTGTTTTATGATATTTACTTCTATTTGAATGCAAATTAGTTAAATATGTGTACAACTAACATTGGAAGAAGGAAGTTATTTTTTCAGGTTCAGTTTCCTTACCTGTATTATTGGGAAAATAATTGCTACTTGTGATAAGGAAGTTTAATAAAATAACTTGTTCATGGAATCTAGAACTGTGCCAGGCACTTAGTGTGTATTTTGTGAATGTTGATTTCCTTGAGGAATATTAAAATCCTTCTAACTTCTGTGACTTCAGGTCCATTTGAAAGATATAGGACGTAAATTCACGTGTACACAAATAGCCTAGAAATAAACTTGAGGACAGTGGTTGAGAAGAGGCATTCAGTTCTTACTTGTCTTTGTCCTCACATAACCACATGTATTCATATCTCCAGCCCATTTTGTGCCAGCCCTTTATGAGGCTGGCTTTCGGCCTCATTGGATAAAGACATTCATCCCATGTTCTTCAGTTCTTCCTTCAAACACCCTCTGTCCTGGATTGAATTGTATCTCCTCAAATTCATATCCACTTGTAAATGTGCTCTTATTTGGAAATGGAGTCTTTGTAGATGTCATCAAGTTAAGATGAGATCATGTTCAATTTGCCTGGGCCATACATTCAATATGATTCTCGTCTTCCTAAGAAGAGAGAATAGAGATACAGAGGAAAGACAGTTATGGAAGACAAAGACAGAGATTTGGATTATGCTGCCACAAGCTAAGAAGTGCCAAGGATTGCTGACAACCACCAGAAGAGGCAAAGAAGGATTCTCTTCGAGAAGTTTCAGAGAGAGCAGACATCTAGTCTTTAGAACTTTTGTTATAAGCTATGCCTAAATTTTGTGACGATGTGTTACGGTACCCCCTGCATACAAATACACCTGCATAGAGGAAGGTCACGGAATTTGTCAATGACTAGGTAGCCCATCCTCTGCACCATACCAGGTAGACAGAAATTCCCTTAGTAACCCTCATTCCAGCCTAAATATAGCACCTGGATTTCTGTAATCTACACCATCCCTGGTATTCTCTTTAGAGAAAGAATGTTGAAAAGTGAGATCACCTCTAACATCCTTTCCAAGGAGTCCAGGCTTATCTTCTCCCTTTGAACGTCACCACTCAGGCTCTCTCTGGGCTCAGACAAGTTCCTGGCCCTAATGAAGCAGAGAACTGCAAAATCCAGAAGACCCTGGAGAAATATCATTAGTGAGCAATTCATGGCAACTGGGAATTTCAGGCAGGAAAATGGTTATGGTTAATTGACCTTGTGGATATTAAAATGGGTTTAGGATTTGGGACTTCCCTATTTGAGCTCCATCCTAGAGTGCATGTGCCTCAGACATGCTGTGAGAAGCGGTTTCTATTCACTGGAGTGCATTTCACCCCCACAGGATTTTTCAGTTAATGTTGGACTAAACATGGATGTTTGGACTTAGGTAAGTGTGTCATATTTGGCTTCATTTGTAGTGTTAACTTTGGAATGCAAAGGGCAGTATATCAAAATATAAAATAAACCTCTCCAAGGTGTTTTTGTGGATTCTCTCATACTGCAAAAGAACAACCATTTGCAAAAGAACAACCATTCCTTCTAGGGAATGGAACGAAATTTTAATCTAGACTTTAAGACTAGAATGCTAAAAATAAAAATGAGAAGCAAATTAAAACCCCCTGTTATTACATTGATTTGTAAAAACATTGTTACTAGCAATTGATTGGGACTTGAAGCCTTCCTCCAGAAAAAAAAGGACTTGACTGTGAGGCCTATATTTGGTTCCAAGCCTCAATGCCATGTATTTGTAGTATTAAAAACTGTTTCGATTAAAACAAAAGAAAAAATATTTTTTTTCAGAATTAACTAAAAAGAGCATTCATACATAAATACCTAAATATTACTCAGTATATTTTATTGGGCCTTTCCATTCCAAATTTCACTCCATTGATAAACTGTTGTGACAATCTTCAAATGGAGTCTCTGTCTTTCTTCATCCAAACTGTCTTTTCAACCAACAAAGCTATGTATAGCTTTGAGTTGTAATGGAAAATTCAAAATTATACAAAGCAAGACTTTAATATTTGAAAACTCATGTTTCTTTAAAGGACAAACATTCATATACACACACACAGACAAACACACACAAATTTAGGACAACATGTATAAGGACTGTGGATATAAAGAAAAATAATCAATTTTTCATGACAGGGTTAAATCAGTCTTCAAGGACAAATGAGGAGATATTTGAGCTGGTCTTAGAAAATGAGCAGGAGAGAGAGAGAGAGAGGGGGGAATTAGGGGTCTTAAACTCAACTGCTATTATGCAAGCACTGTTTTCAGACCAGATGACTGTCTGTAGCATGACTCTCTCCATGTCACTTGCTGTGTCACTGTTGGCCCTGGCTCCTCACTCATTGCTTCTAAGTGAAGTTTTGACATCTTAGCTAGAATTTCAGGCCTTCCAGAATTATATTTCAACTTTACTTCTGTTAGTTTCCTACTCCATCCTCTACTCTACTGCACAGTATTTCTTTGGGAAGAGCTAGTGCGGTGCCATGAGCATCTCCTGCCAGAAGGCATGGGAGGCATGCATCATGATCCCAGTGAAAGGCTTCCATGGGGTAACTGGAGAGCTTGAAACATGTCCCCTACATTTGAGAGACATGGGGGAGTTGTGCTTGATGATGAGAACGTGAAATGATGACAGGGTGTAGACTCCTGTGATGGATCCTTCCTGTGATCCCAACATTTGTTGGGTCAAGGGATGCTTGTTTCCCATGGAGCATGGTTCATTTCCTACAGAGATAAACAGACACATAGAAATAGAGAAAGATCAAGGTCAGGCATGTGGCCATCTTGGGTGCCACCCATAAGAACGGGAAGAAACCCAGCAATAAGAAGCTGAGGCTTATCATGAGATTCCTAAGGTTTTCCACTTGAAAGAGGAGATCGCTTTCAGGCTCAAAGCAATAGCAAAAGTGGTTTTTGGTGACAAACTTCGGAGAACAAAGAAAGGACCTATAAGAGAAGGAGCGAGGCTTATTTATCTGCCAGGCACAGCGTGCAAAGTCAGCCCCGATCAGTACTTCTCCATGAAGCTTTCATTTTCCCTTTCTATGTCATTCTCTAACCTGATCAGAAAATGCCTGGCAGGTATGGGGGAGTGGGGAGGGAAGCATCAGTAGGAGAAAGAAGTATCCACCACCTTTGCAGCTGTCAAGATGAGGGAGGGGAGACCTGAAACTGAATAAAGTTTGGTGTGTAGACTAAATCCTGGTATAGACATTTTGACTTCAGAATCAAGACTTTTAAAGTTATTACTTAATATCTATTACCTGTCTATTATGTAGGCTTGAGCAGAAAATGCTGGGGATTACTGAAGTTTTTAAATAGTAACAGTGGAGGTTTATCTCCTTAAATAATTGTAATTGGAGTGAGAGATAAATAATAATGATAAGTTGGCTTTTGGTAATATAACAGTTGTCCCTGTTCAAATACCAGTGCCAGAACTAAAGATCCATTCACGACAAACAGAAGGTGCCTATAGAAGGTGGTGGGAAGCTGGAGTGCCTTCTAAAGAGGGGCGTGAGCCATCTTCAATCCCCTGTGGAAGCAGGGATCTTGAGATAATGGGGAGTCTCTGTATTGATGGAGAAAGAGCTCAGGAACTAACAGCGAATTGTTTTCACCCAAAGATGGAGCCCGAGGGAGCACCCGTGGCATTCTCATTACCATTACAAACATTAGCTATGCCTTGACCTTCTTCCTGCTCCCCTTCCCCAACCCCAGGATGGGGAGAACTGATGAAGGAGTCTTTCCAAAACCTTAGAGTGAAAGCATTGTCTGAATTCCACATTGAGGATGCACTTTCGATAGTAGTTTTAAATCAGGCTCAGGTTAACACAATGAGGTAATGATTAAAATACAAATGCACGGTTACTGAGTTCTGTGACAAATCACCTGGATTTCTTCCTCTCTCACTCTTGCTCACAGTGGCAGCAATTATGACTGCTGTCCCCCAAACTTCCTTCTTCACTCCTTACCTCCCACCCTCTCCAGAGAGTTGCTTTGTTCTGATACCTTTCTCAGAATGATCTTATTTCCTGGCTCTGCTCTTCCAAAGCACTCTTTTCTTCTGACTTAGAGTAGGCAGAAAGAAAAAGTAAGGGTTTTGTGGAGCCAAAAAAATGAGGATGTGAATCTACTCTTCCTGACTATAGAAAGGGAAGCGTCAGGCATCAAAATGTGTGATGATTGCATGCCCAATGCGTTGGTACAAGAAAGCTGGCCTGTGGAAGCAACAGAGTCATGATGTGGAGCTCTCTCCCTTGGAGAGCACACTGCAGTGGGAAGAGAGCAGGCTTTGGAAATGAAACACCCATGTTGGAATTCCAGCTCTGACAGCGATTAGATGCTGTACATTATTGCACTCAGCCATTCATTACCACAAGACAACTTCCTAAGGCACCTGCTGTGTGTGGATTCCTTGGGGGTCATTGATCCAGGAGACTACTGCTGCCCTCAGGCAACTCTTAGCATGGTTGGCGACATGGACATTGTGGCAAATAACTTGACTGCAGTGTGACTAGCACAAGGATGGACACAGGTGGAGGTCTTCCTGTGATCCACGTGCGGAAGGAACACCCTTCACTGAGGCAGAAGTAGAGGATGAATGTGGGCTCACTGGCTGTACATTGGGCTGAGTGGAAGACATGCCAGGTGTGTGTTAATCCACAGAGGATGGGATGGCAGGGTGCATCTGAAGGAGTGTGAATTGATCCATGTGAACTAGCATGGGGTAGTGATGGGAAAAGGTGGGAGGTGAAGGTGGAAAGGGAGACAGAAGCAAGACCATGAGATCTTGGGGGCCTTATAAGCCAGGCTAAGGAGTTTTATCTTGCATACAATGAGACATGATCATATTTATGTTTTAGAAATATTTCTTTGAAGGCAGGAGCTAAAGAAAGAAATTGAAGCCAAGAGAGGGAAGGTAGGATATTATTGCAACAGTTCAGGTGAAAGAAGATGAATTCTTGAGCTAAAGTGGGAATGGAGAGATGTCCTAAGTGAGTTCCTCAAAAAGCAGAGTGGAAGATGATTTGAGTGCAAGTAGTTTATGTGGCAGAGTACAGGAATAGGATAGTAAGTCAAGGAAGTGGCAGAAGGAAGGAAGCCAAGAGAGGATGCAAAAATGATCAGGAGACCACTGTGGAATTGCAGCCAAGTTCTGCTGGGACCCTGTATAGAAGGTACTAAGAGTTGTCCCATTCAAATAGGGGAATTGGGGGGCATTTATTCATCAACTCCCATCCACCATTGGTTGGGAACCTCTCTTAAGGGCATTAGCCCCCCCAACACTTTAGGCTCGCTATTTACATATGCAGAATAGGCTTCTGAAGAAAATTGAAGTACTCAGACAGAGAACTGTTAGTGCTTAAAGTCAGAAACCATTGACACGTCCAGAATGATGAGTGCCAAGAGGATATAGGCAGGGCACCAACAGTGCCTGCTGTAGGAGGCAGCTTATGGGGAAAAAGTAGACATCCCACAAGAACAGAAGAATAATGTAAGCAGAGATGAAAGTTTTAAGAAGAAATAAAAAGAAATACTAGAGATTAAAAACCAATTCTATTTTCATAGAAACGAGGAATATTCTGATAGGCTTGTTAGTTGACTGAAAACAGCAGAGGAAAGAACCTCGAGCTTGAGAATATATCAATGGAAACCTCTAAAATGAACAACAAAGAGAAAAAAACTGAAAATAAATAACAAAATATCTAAAAACTGTGGAACCACTATAAAAGGTATAAGATACATATAACAGGACTACCAGAGGGAGAAGAAAGGGAGAAAGGAATAGAAGCAATATTTAAAGTAATAACTCCTGAGAATTTTCCCAAATTAATGTGAGACACAGTTATAGACTGAATTGTGCCCCTCCCTGTAAATTCATATGTTGAAGTCCTAACTCCCATTGCATTTGGAAATAGAGCCTGCAAGGAGGTAGAACAAGTTAAACAAGGTTTCAAGGATGGTTCTGTAACCCAATAGGATTTATGTTTTTATAAGGAGAGGAAGAAACATCAAAGATCTTACCCTTTTCTTTTTCTTTCTGCAGATGCACAGAGAAGAGGCCATATGAGGATATGACAAGAAGGCGGTTAACTGCAAGGAAGAGAGGCCTCATCAGAAACCAA